GGGGAGCAGAACAGGCAGAGCGATGAAGTACACTGCTGAGGGGAGCAGCGGGCGGGTCAGGAGAGGTCTGCCCCGCCATGTGGACTCCTCCGGGGCAGATGGGAATCAAACTCATGCGGAGGTGGCTTCAGCTTCTTAGTGCTGTGCTTTAACCCGCTGCGCCACCAGGAGGGCCCATCATGACCGTTTTTAACAGTAAGCAGGGAGACCAGCCAGCAGGGAGACAGCAGCCTGAGACCCCTCCCCCAGGGACGCTGCCTTTCCGCCCCCTCCTAGCACAGGTGCGCACGCCTGCATGCACACACTCGTGCTCCAGTGTCCACAATCAGGCACAGTGCCCGTTCCCAGCACCTCTACATGGACACAGCCCAGACCACAGGCGCCAGCCACAGAGGCACGTGGCGCGAACAGCCTGGTTAACGCACTTACCCACACCCTCAATTCCTTCAGCTGCAAACGGGCCTGAAGTGGTACTGCACAGAATGCCGAGGTTCAGTCAGAACCTGGAAGAATGAGCTCAGTCCAAGCTGCCAGTGGCACCTCTGCCTACTAAGCAAGCAGGTGAATGTGGCAGGCCTGGCTCTAGGGCCCCCCACCTCCAACCCCTCCCTGATGTGAATTTCACTGCAGATCTGAGAGTTGAGAACTTTCACCCAGCTAACTCTGACCTGAAGGAGGGATGGAAGAAGGAAAACAATCCCAAACAGATCAAAGTTCTCAGAAGAGGCAGCTGGGCGTGCTGAAAGGAATCTCACACTGAGCTGCACGTGTCGGGTTGCCTGTTCAGGTCTAGCCAGCATGGGCACAGGAGAAGCCTAGCAAGCCTCTGCCGAAGGGGAGGGGGCGCTCAGGTGGAAAGATGGCGCCTTGAGCTAAGGGCTGACACTGCTGCATCCTTGCCGAAGCCTGGGGCACCCTCCTAAGCACCTCCCAGCCTCAGCCTGGGGAGAGGAAGCCCCAGCCCCACACAGACCTTCCACGTGGCCGCACCTCACTGCCCAATCTCCTCACTTGCGCACGCTGCCCACGCGAGCCCACAAGAGCCCATGGCCGAGGCGCCCTTTCTGCCCTTACTCCTGGCAAACTCCTAACAGTTCTTCAAGGTCCAGTGCTCCTTTCTGAGCTTTCTCCAGTGGCCCCTCCCAGGAAGTGCTCCTCTTCTGGGCTCCCCAGCCACCTGTGGAGTCTGGTATGGGAAAATGTCAACTTCCCTTCTACAGCCTCAGACACAAAAGGACAGTCAGTCTGCAGCACCTCCCTTCCATTCCTGCCTAAGGAGCTACTGCAGCCACCAGGTGCTGAGCCCCTGGGGAATCTGGAGGCTTAGGGAGATTGTCAACTGGGGGGGGGGGGTGCAGGAGGAGCTCCAGGGAGCAAAGTCTAGGGTCCAGAGCAAGGAGGAAACAGACCCCCCACACCCTGTTTGGGCACTCCAAAGTCTGATCTGGGTCTGTGCCAGGGACTACCAGGGGGATCAGAGCAGGATCTCTACAGACCAGGGCAGTCCAGAGCACCCTAGGAGAGTGGACGGGGGTACGTGGGCTCTGTGGTGCCAGATCCAGTTCGCAGAGGCCATGAGCGGGGGCTTTAGGAGACTGGCTGCTTTCAGGGGGCCTTGTGCCCAGCCCGCAGGCACTAGGGGAACCCGAAAAGGCGTGAAAAAGCGTGCAGGGCCCCTGGCCCCAGCAAACTCAGGGCCCTCTGCACACCCAAACGTGGGGCCGCACGGCTGTGGCTGCACGCAGGCACCTGGCCTTGCTAGAGACCCTAACTGCGCCCCTGGCTGAGGGGTAGTCCCAGCGCGGTCCTGCCTCCCACCCCAGAGTGCACCGTGGGTCTCTTTGGGGCTTGACAAAGGCTCCTGCCTGCACCCCTGGAGTCAGAGCCTCGAATCCTACACCCAAAACGCCTCTCCAAGAGGAAGGAAGGACACTTCATTCAGACAACGGTGGAGAGAACTGAGTTGCGAAATTTCACTACAGGAAATGTTTGAAAATGCTCTTCAGAGCGAAAGAAATTTGGATTTTCACAGCAAAAAAAGAGTGATAGAAATGGTGTGTGAATACATGTGGTGGGGCTATTTTTGCATTTTTAACCTCTTAAAAAGATGATTGTGCTTTTATATGGGTAAACACACACTTACCCTATGACTCAGCGAAAACCTACACAATTGCCTAGACCTGGAAAAACCCAAAGGTCCCTCACCTGCAGAACAGGTAGCGCGTACTGTGGGCAGGGCCTCAATGCGGAACAACGGGAAAAAACCAGAGCACAGGTGACTCAGCAGCTGACTCAGCGGGCCGCCCCAGATTCCACTTACACTTGCATGAGGACGTTGCCGTAAAGAACACGAGACAAAACTAATCGTGGGCCTCGCACCCCTAACCAGGGCACCAAAGTCCAGCTCCAACAATCCCCAGTGGACACGTCAACCACGTAACCCAGTAAGAACTGAGCGTCTCCCAGCCGGGACAGGCCGCGGGTCCCTAAGGCAGAGCTTGCCCCTGAACACTGCCACCTGTTCTCTCGCCTCCTTTTTATGGGACTCCAACCCCGCCATGAGGTGGGGCTGGCACAGGAAAGGCCTGATGGTTTCCGTGTGGTTTTCTTGGGATGTCCACAAGCCAACAGTTCTGGTAGACAGAGCCCAGGCCACCCCTCAGCCACATGCCACAACTTCAGAGCATCTGCATCACCCCACAAGAAACCCCATAGGCAAGCTCACTTCTTCCCAGCACCCTCTCAGCCCTGGGCAACCACTGCCTAGTCCAGACATCTCATGCACATCAAGTCAGAGCTCTGAGGCCGTGTGTGTGCGGGTGTGTGTGCAGGCGTGAGCATGTTGTCATCCATGTGGCAGGCTCTGTGCAAGAAGACATGAAAGGACTCCCTCAGGCACTTCTGCATGAGCAGTGCTGAGAGCCGCACCTGCTCGGCCTGCACCCCCAGCCCCGCTGCCCCAGCCAGAGTGATTCTTCTCACCAGGATTGGTCAAACAGCAACCCCCAGGCCGGGCACGAGGCCTCCTGCGGACGCCCTTGCCCACCCCCCTCCGCAGGAGGCCCAGGGCCTGACTGAGTCAGCCTTGAGAGGCTTTGGCCAATATGAGAGGAAGGCCGCTGCTAAAACCGAGTGGGTTTAGAACATTCCACGGCATTTTGGAAGGTTTTCTTCTTCTTGGTGGTGATTCTAATGTTAGGTTTTGCCCATTTCTTAGTGTTTTGAGAGGTAATCCTGACAAGACCGGGCGAACGGCTGTCGACCTGTGAGGTAATTCTGAGTAGAGACAAGTCTGTTTGGGCCTGTTTTTTTCTATGGAGCGGAGAAGAGTGAGGGTGACCTCTGTGGCAGGGTCAGGCCGGATGCAGGAGACCTCCTACCCCTGCTTGGGTTGTGCCCAAGACAGTAAGCCCCCAGGGAGCCCAAAACAAGGGGCAAGAAGCAGAGGATGAGCCCAGACACAGCAACAGCCAGGTCAAGCACCTGCTTTATTCACACAGGAAATGCCCCGGCCCAACACCCTTTGAAGGCAACCGGGAGCAAAGCAGGAATCTAGAAAAATAATTTAAGGATCTAAACCATCCAGAAAGACCACACTAAATCAGCTGAAGGCAAAGATTGATCAGCGTAAAAGAAAAAGAGGAGACAGAAAAGAAAGCCACCTGTGGCAGTCTGACCCTCCTTGAGGCCTAACGGAAGTAGTTGGGACATTCGTGGGCAACCAGGTGCCAGGCTCGATCAAAGGCCTGCACCACGGCTGGCTCCAGGGGCCCTTCCTCAGTCGCTGCCAAGTTCTGCTCCAGCTGCTCAGGGCTGGACATGCCCAGGATGACTGCGTCCCCATGGGTGGCCTGCAAGGGGGGACAGTGAGACATCAATGCCCTTCTGCACCCACAGAAGGCCCACATGCTCCCCCGCCAGCCTGCCACCACTAAGACTCAAGATCGGATGTCTGCTGGTGCCATACACACTTCTAGAAATGTGCCTCCGAAACTGTGGCAACGTGACTCCGAACTGTCTTCCTTCTCCCAGCCACCAACTGCTCACCCCCCACGCAGGCCTGAGCTCAGAGCCGGGCTCTGCCTTTCAACAGCTGTACAGCTCGGCTTCCTGATTTAGGCTCTGAAACTCGGCTTCTCTGTGCTCAGCACGGTCGTGGGTATGACAAATTCCCGTAATATGTAAAGCACTTGGCTCACGGGAACTACTACATATACACCGGGCCCTACTGACCACCTTGGCTGAAGAGCCAAGCAGAGAGAGCAAAGCTTTAGCCAGGAAGACACCAGAGAGATGGGAACTCTGCCTGCAACCAGCGGAGGGAGATTAAGGGAGATTGAGGGAGATTTCGCAGTCAAGTCCATGATAAATACTTCACTTCCTTCATGAATGTGAGAACCCATTTCCCCATCAGCACAACTGGGATAATCAAACTGATAAGGCCTCTGCACCCACTAAATCGATGCTTATGAAGCCCTAATCCTGCGGTCTGGCACTCAGCTGCTTAGCAGAATCCGAGGCCTGTCCTGGAGAACAGGAAGAGAGAAATTTCAGAGGGAAGATCTCTGTAGCCATCACCTAAGGGCCATGCTGGCACCCGGCATGGGCAGAGGCGGGCTGCTGTGGACGCGAGGTTACCTGGAGCTGGGAGTGGTGGTACATCCAGCGCAGGGCAGCCGCGGTCATGCTGGGGGCGCCACTGCCATACGAGTCCTGCAAGGCCTTCTCCACCAGGGCGATGGCCTCGAAGTGGTGCTCCTTCCAGAAGCTGGCGGGTGAGGCAGGTGGCACAGGGGTCAGCACTGCGGGATCACTCAGGGGCCATGGCCAAAGGGCCAACTGGAGCGACGCAGCCACCAGCTCTGCAGTGTGGGTGGCCGGTGTGCGCAGCACTGGGTCTCCTGCCTTGTTGGGCAAAACCACCCACATGCTGGCGCCATCACCAGGCCCTCAGCACAATCCCCAGGGCCCCCCAGGGCCCTGGTGCCATCACCAGGGCCTCAGCACCATCCCCAGGGCCTTGGTGCCATCACCAGGGCCTCAGCATCATCCCCAGGGCTTTGGTGCCATCACCAGGGCCTCGGTGCCATCTTTAATCCTAAGAAGTCCAGGCCCACCCTCACTTCCCTGCTGAGACAAAGGCAGCCAGTACAGGGCGCAGGTCTCGGCCCAGACCCCTTGGGCCCGATTTCAAAGCTCTTTCCTTCTCTCCTGGCAGGTGATGAGCACTTCTCAAAGAAGACCTGGCATGAAGTCCAGGAATTCTCATGTCCTCCCACAGGTTCCAAGAAACTCTCCAGAGATTTGCTAATTCCTGCAGGAGTCAAGAGATGCAGGTCCAGGCAGCAGGGAAGGCCTGGAGCTGCTCCCAGGCCCCGTGGCAACCCAGAAAGCGGCCTTCAACTTCTCCATCTCGGGGAAAGGGAACCCCGCCCACGCCATCCTGAAGCGGACACCCCAGCTCACCGGTTCCTGTAAGCCTCAGCCCAGCTATTCCCAAAGAAGCGGCCTACGGGCTGTTTCTTGTTCTTGTCCTCATACTTGTACTTGCCGGTCAGCAGGCCCCCTGTGGACAGGCCGCCATCAGACCCCCTCCCCGCTCCTCCCAGAGGCTGCTCTGGACTGGGGGACCCAGAGGGCTACCAAGCCAGTCCACCTCCCGCAGCCCCTCCCTGGCATCCACACAGCAGCCCCTACCAGCCAAAGGGTTGTAGGCGTAGAACCGCAATCCGAAGTGCCTGAGGCAGGGGAAGAGCTCTGTCTCCACCTGCCGGGTGGTGGCGTTGTACATGCCCTGTGGGTGGAGGGGCCAGCTGGGCAGGGTGCACGCATTCAGCAAGGGACCCAGCCTTCTAAACCCAGCCACAAATGCCAGGCCGTGGCAGTGACCTCCGGATCACCAGTGGTGGGAGGGGATGCGGACGTGGTGTTGGGCTCAGGAGTGGGAAAGCAGCCTGGACCTCTCCTTCCAGGAGTATCTGCAGGTACCAGCTGTGGGCTGGAGCCTGGCTCTAAATATGCCCAGTCCAGCCAGGTCTGTGCCTCCAAGAGCTGTGAGAGCCGAGAGCGAGCGTCAAAGTAAAGGTCAGTGCGGTGCGCACATGCAGGCTGAACAGGACGGCGGGGCCCAGGGACCCGCCCCTGGGGCAGTAGGGTCAGCTTTCAGAGGACGCGTCATGGAGTGGGGGGCAGGGGGGAGAGGAGGCCCATCCAGCTGACTGGCAGAGTGAGGAAGCGGGCAGGCTGGGACAGGGGCGCGTCAGGGCCAGTGACCGGCACTATTGGCCTGCCTGGAGAAGGCATTAAATCCTGAGGGCTCCTGGAAGCCATCTGCAGGGACTGGCTGCTTTGGGGAGGCCATGGAGGTACTTGGAGGGGCCCAGAGAACCCAGAATCAGGAGAAGCCCAGGGATCGAAGCCTCTGCTACCCTGGCCCCACCTGGTACACGGTGGGCAGGATCCAGCCGTTGCTCTTGCAGAGGGTACAGATCTCGGCCACCTCCCAGGCAGCGTAGTTGGAGAGGCCAAGCTCCACAAACTTGCCCTGCAGGGGAAAGGCCAAGGTCAGAACCCAACACAGTCCAGAAGACCAGGAAGGGGAGCTGAGGGTGGGGTGGGGACTCCGGGCACAGGGTCTGCCCCGGCTCCGTTCCGGGACAGCCCTGATACATGCCCGCTGCTGGGTGGTACAGTCAAAGAAGAGAGCACCAGACCACCGCGGAGCGGGGCAGGGGCTGCCCTCACCTCCTGGTGCAGCTGGTGGCAGGCGCGCAGGGTCTCTTCCACAGGGGTGCCGTGGTCAGGTGCGTGGAGGTAGAAGAGGTCCACCCGGGGGCACTGCAACCGTTTCAGCGACGTCTCCAGCTGGGCCCGGAGACTGTCAGGCTTCAGCGACTTTCCCTCCCAGGGATTGGCCTTGGTAGCGATTTTTGCTTGGAGGGGAGAATGTCATGGTCATGAGACATACAGAGCCACTTATGGCCATGGGATCTCGGCTAAAGTATTTCCATTTTCTGAGTCTCAATCCACTAATTTGTCAAATGGGATGGAAGCAGGGCACTGTCCTGAGAAGGACGACGAGGACGAAACAATGTTTTAGCTGTGAGTTTTTGACGTTCACTGTTTTTGCAGTCGCCAGACGCTGGCTGTGCCAGGCCTAGCGCTGCAGGCCGAGCTCACAGAGATGAAGGACTTGCACTTGCTTTCTGCCCTCCAGGAGCTCAGTCTAGACGGTGGTGGTACCAGACTGTACGTGCAGCAGAGAAAAGCCCCAGAGCTGAAGGAGCCCAGAGGAGAAGCGGGCCCCCCCGGGAGTCCCGGGGGATGGTCACCAAGCTCCCAGACGGAGCCAAAGGCAGGCAACACGGAGGGGTGGGAAGCACCCCAGAGGGTGGGAGCGGAGCAAAAACACAAAGGGGAGAAGATGTAGTATGGGAAAAGCCGCACCTGCAGTCCTGAGCCACAGAGCATGGACTCAGGCAGGGAGCCCAGGGACTTGAGGCAAGAGAGCGCCAAAGGCTCGCCCCGAAGGCTTTTCTCAAGTGCCATCACTCCAAGGCGTGAGGCCTCTCTGTCTGGCCTCTCTGTATGCCTATGTATAAGGAAGGACTCAAGGGGACAGGCCTGGAAATGGGGCGACAAGAGGCTGCTGCCAGAGTTCAGGAGAGGGCGTGCGCCTGAACACTGGCGCTGGCCGAGATCACTCTGAGAGGCAGAAGGTAGTGCGAACCCGCAGGCCTCCCCAGTGGGCTCGCAGCCCAGGCCCGCAGAAGCAAGCACACGCACATCCACCGTGGCCACAGGCTGAGAACGAGATCCTGCCCCGCCAGGCCAGCAGCGGGCAGCACTCTGGAGTCCAGGTAGCCTGGATTGATGGGTGCATGGAAGCAACTCGCCGGGTCAGAAGGACCACTAGGATACGGGCAACAGGCCCCCCAGCTTCTCACCGAGATAGTCTCCATATTCCCTTCAGTCTCAATTCCCTGAATTCTTGGTGTGAACTTTGCCTCGGGTTCGACCTTAGGACTTTGGCCTAGTGAGTGCCCAGCCTCGTAGAAGGAAGCAGGGAAGGTTTGGAGAAAAAGTAACTGAAAAACAAAATCTCAGCCCTCCCTGGAGGCAGGGGGTTCAGTCTCAGCACTATGAAGCTATCAGCAGCACAAGCTTGACCCCCAACCAGGGAGCTGACCCCAAGGCGTGGCAGACCTCTCCTGTCTCCCTGCTGCTCCCCTCAGCAGTCCACCTGTTCTGGTCCTGACTCTGTCTCTGGTGAATCTTCTCACCACCCTCACCCTGCACCTGGCCTGGAGCCCAGTTCTTGGATGCATAAATAAAGTAAATCTTTGAAGAAAAAAACTTCATGATCAGCGAGGGGCTGCCAGGTGCACTAGGCAGAGTGTGAGTCTGAGATATACGTGCCATTCTGGCCCTCTGAGACCCACCGTTATGAATCTAAGGAGGACCCAGAAGGGACCCCCCCACCCCCGCCTACAAGGGCTGGAGAGGAAGAACCTAAGAGTGAAAAGGAGGCAAAGTATGGTAGCAGTACAACAGCCAGTGTTTCGTGGGCCCCACTGTGTGCGAGAGGCTCTCCTAGGCACGTCCAGTGGCATCGTGCCAAAGAGGGACAGTCCTTCCCACACACTTGCTACCTGGTCATGTGTCCACACACCAGGCACTTGGCATTTCCAAACCCAGTCCCAAAAGTGCCCCCTGCCCCATCATTTGTTTCAGGGTCCCTCTAGATTCTGAGTGCCCTGGGGGTGGGTGAGTCACTTTCTTTCCAAGTCCCCATAACAAGGCTGGCACAGGGCTACAGGAGTGGTGCCAAAGCCCTCCCAGCCCTCACACCTGCTACTGCTCACCTACCAGCCCTGCGCCCCAGCCGAGCCTACGCTTTCCTCCTGAGAGAGCCAGGGTGCTGCCAAGTGGACAGAGCAAAGTCTAGGGGCTGGTAAAAGACCAGATGAGAAAAGGGAGTGAACAGCGTGAGCACAATGGGGTGAGGGAGGAAGGCAGAGAGCCTGGGACAGGTATGGGCACTGCAGGGTTGAACAGGGGAGTTATGGGCACCATACAGGGCGCCCATGAGCTCCGGATAGCTCCGGAGACCACAGAGAGGTGCACCGAGGAAGGGGGGGGGGGCAGCGGCCAAGCACTAGGTTAGCCTCAGCCTCGGAGATGCAGCTCCCACGAGGACAGGGAATAGCGATCATGTCAAAGCACTGTCCACTGTTCCGGGCCAGATGTGCACGGGTCTGAAAGTTAGGGGTTCACAGAGCTGCAGCGTGGCCAGGAGAGGTCGGTGCCCCCGGAGGGGGATAAAGCCGCGGGTTCTGCCTCGGCCAGGCCGTTGTACAACTGGGGCAGGGTCGAGGTCATGCGGGAGGGATGGGCGAGGCACGTACAGGGGGGGTCAGGTGTCCTAGCCCGGGGCTCCAGACTTTACCTCTGCAGTTGCCGCCGCCCAGCCCGAGCCCCAGGCCGCCCAGGATGCTCTCAGACTGGCCGTCGCTGTACATGAGGGCCGTGTCCAGCTCGGTGTGGCCGCGCTCCAGAAAGGCTCGAACGGCTGCGCCGCTGGCGGACGCGTCCATGCGGCGCCCCATCTCCATGGTGCCCAGCACGGTGGCGGGCCGGTCCGAGCCGCCCGAGGCGGCCCTCGAAGGCCGGGACATGGCGGAGGCTGTGGCGGTCCGAGTCTCGGGCGTCCCAGCACGACGAGCACAGCGGACCGCGGCGCGGCCGACAGCTCGGGACGCGGCGCTCAGCATGAGGATGGCGCCTGCGCTCAGGGAGCTCGGGCCCCGCCCACCTACCACGGAGCCCAATGGGCAGCAAGGGAGTGTCAACAAATAGAGCGACGGCCCCCCCACGCATGCTCCGCGGGCAAGTGCCCCTCTTAGGGATCGTCCGCCAAGTGCGCGGCGCCAGAGGCGGAGCCACGCGGCTCCGGGGCGGGGCGGGGCGGGGCCTCTGGTCAGCTGACCCAGGCACTGGAGACAGACCCTGAAGCCGGACCCGGGCTGTGGATCTTGACTGGGTGAGCCGCCTTTGAGGCTTGGGGGCAAACCGAAAGGCTGGGGGTCGAGAATCTGGGGCTTCCCTGCCACATTTTTCCAACTTTCCTCCAGTCCCTGGACGGTCGTGGGCTCCTGTTTCCTCCTCGAGGCACGAAATCCTGGTCCAGGGTCTGGGCTGGGATTGGACGACCCCCTCGGGGACCCCAAGTCTCGGTCCTCCTCCTCCTCAGAAGCGTCCAGCAAAGCCTCTTGGAGCTGCACGGCTAGGGCTTGGGATCTGGGTTCCCTTTTCTCCTTCTGGCCTCTGTTGATCAGCCCCTATGCTTCCCACGGCTTTGTTTTCCTCGGAGCTGGCCCGGGGAGTCCCCCCCCCGCCCCCCCGCGGCCATAGAGTGCTGACCCCAGCGGCTGCCCTGTCATTATCCCTGCCAAACAGGCATCCCGCTCCGGGCTGAGTCACTAGCAGGGAGTGTGGCTGAGGACCCGGGCCGGAGTGGGGTTCAGCCCCGGCAGGATGCTCCTCCCCTGAGTGCTCCCTGGGTCTGCTAGGGAGGGAGTCCAGATCGCCCCCGCCCCATCCCACCCTCCGTCAGGTTTTGAAATACCTACAGTGTGAGAGTACCTTTGGAAGTGTGAGGAGGACTGGTGCGGGTCACAGGTCACATAATGGAGGCTGCTGGGTGCCCCGAGGACGCTGTGGGAGCAGGGAGGGAGGCCTCAGCCAGGAACAGAACAGCCAGCCCCGAGTAGCAGTAGCGTTTCGGGCCAAGCCCCATTCTGATCATCCGGCCTGGATAATTTCATTATCGCCCAGGCTCAGCAGTCAGAGGACACTTGCATTCTTCCCCCATTTTGTAGGTTGGAACTCTGAGGTCCAGTCCCTTTGCCGGGCTGTTCTAAACTAGAAGGCCTCGGTCAGGTCAGTTCCAGAGCGCGTTCTCCTCAGCCCTTGGACATGTGTGCTCACATCGAAACCTTCCTCCCGGGCTTGCTTTTTGCTTCCCCTTCCCATCCCTCCTCCCTCTTTCCCTTCTTCTTCCTCCTCCTCTCTTTTTTTGCCTTCTTATCCCCACCCAATGTTTCCTGAACCTTTGCTGTCTAGGTCCTGAGAATACAGTTTACAGCCAGGTTAAAGGGAGGGGTGGTCGCTGAGGTGTGTGATAAGCTTTGTGTGGCCAGAGAAAGGGGAAGAGGTGACCAGGGGGCCCAGCCAGCCCCGGAAAGGCCTCTGTGAGAGGGCAGATTAGAACTGGGTCTTTGTATCTCTTTACACGGCCCACGGGGTGAAGGACACTTCTAGGCAAACAGCGGCTGCAGCAGCCTGGAGGCCAGAGAATGATTATTGGAGACGTGAGGCAAGTTCAGGGGACACACTGGGAGGGCAGTGCCTGGAGTGCTGCCTAAGTGCTGCTTTGGGGCCCAGTGGACTCCTCGGGTAGATGCAGGTGGCCACTTGACCAGCTTCTGCGGGAACATCGCCCTGACTCAGCTGGCGTCCAGGAGAGGAGCTGGGGTGTGGCAGGAGCTGCCCTCTCCGGCACAGCCTTTCTGGGAGTGTGGAGGTGCTCGCCAGGAGTTCACCTCATCCCTCCACAGCATGCTGAGAGGAGGGAGTGAGAGATTGGGCTCCTGACACCCACCCTCAGCAGTCTCACCATGCACCCCATCAGGCAGCGGGCTAAGAGGTTTATGTGCATTTCATCTGCACTGAGAGCCCAAGGAGTTAATGTCATTGTCCTCATTTTATGGACAGGCTCGGACAGGTTACTCAACTGCCCAACCTAGCTGTAAACAGGGGGCAGTGTTCCCCATTCCCAGGACACCCCCACTAGGCAGCATACTAATGCGATGAGCTGTCTGGCAGGTTCCGAATCTACGGGAGGAGGTGGGCAGGCTGTCCAGGGGTGCTGGAGCGAAGGGCTGATGTGGCAACAGGACAGTTCTTCCCTGGGCTGCCAGGCTGGCCTTGCGGGGGCTGGTGGCCGGACACGGGCAGATGGTTCCGGCATCAGCCTGCTCAAGGCTATCCAGCTGAGCCGCCAGGACCAGGGAAAGCTTTCAGGCTGGGAGATACGGCAGTGAACGGGCGGTGCCCTGGGCGGCCCTGGCCCCGCCGCTCCAGGTAGTTGCATGGAGACTGCAGGTCTCCAGTTTCCTGAGCAAAGAGGGGGGACTCAGTTCTTTCCCCTCCCTGAAGCCCCCAGTTTCCTGTGACCTCAGTAGTTCAAGGGTCCGGCCGGGGTGATTTAGTCCATCAGGGCCCCTGAGAAACAACCAACGCACATTTCTCAGTGTGGAGGCAGGGATCAGAGCACAGTATCAGTGGCAAGGGCCGCTTCCTGGTGTGTGTTTTGGGGGGGGGGCGGCACCTGCCCAGTGTGGCCTCACCCCTCAGGGAAGGGGGTGCCCCGGAGGAGTGGGTCTCAGTCCTAAACATCTCCCCAGAGTCCCTCCTCTACCTTCCCATTGGGGGTCAGTTTTCAACATAGGAGTGTGGCGATGCCTTTTGCTCCCCGGGATCCTGACACAAGTAGAAACTGAAGGTGGCTGCAGAGAGCAGCTCGCGTGAGGAAAGCCCCTCTGAGCCACATGAGAAAAGGGGAAGCCTGCTCTCTGGCTTTGAGAAGCTGGCAGTCACGGCAGCAGGTTTTGCAGCACCCAGAGGAACCTGACACCGTGCCTGGTAGCAGGGGTTTGGGTCTGGCTTGGGTTGGACTTCTGACTGCAGCTTTCCGGCTGCCCCCCGCCATCTGTGTGGTGAGAATGGGGAGGTCTCCACCTGCCTCCTGCGGCACTGGCAGGGACAACCCTACCTGAGACCAGATAACACAGCTAATGGCCCAGCCTCGGGGGCCTCACAGAGAGAGGGCCTCCCTGGTGGCCTACGGGTCAAGTCTCAGCAAGATCACCTATGAGGCCTGAGCTCGATCCCAGCCAGGGAGCTGACCCACAGGGTGCAGCAGACCTCTCCTGTCTCCCCACTGCCCCCTCAGCAGTGGACTTCAGTGGATCTGCCTGTTCTGCTCCCCCCTCTGCCTCTGGGAATCCTCTCTCCCCCGCATCTCTGGCTTACACTCCAGTTCTTCTGTGCATAAATCAATAAATTTTTTTTAAGAAAAGGAACCATCTAAATGTTCAGTAGTTATAACCAGGGTGATGTCATTTGAGGACTGAGTTCCCCACCTTTCGTTTATGAGCTCATTTCACCCTCACAACAGTGTGAAGGGGCACTGTAATCACCCCCTTTCTACAGGTGAGGAAACCGAGGCTTTAATCTGACTGACTCCCGGTTCAAGGGTTGGGCCATTGCTGTGTGGTGAGCTGGGGGCGGGCGGGCTTGGGCTGCGGGACCGTGACGCAGCCCCAAGGCTGACCGCCCCTCTTCCTCCCTGTAGAGCCCTGGCTGCCTCGGTACGCCACCACCCTCCCCACGGCCCGCCCTCCCACTGCAGCCATGGTCTGGAGGAAACTGGGCTCTGGCAACTTCTCCAGCTGCCCCAACGGCAGCCTGTGGATATGGGACGTGTTCGGCGAGTGCGCGCAGGATGCCTGGGACGAGGCCAGCGTGGGTCTGGGCCTGATCTCAATTGTCTGCTTTGCTGCGTCCACCTTGCCGTAAGTAGCGCTGGGTGGCAGGAGCGGGGCTAGCCGGTGGGGCTGCCCGGCTGGCTGTGGTCCCTCCAGGCTCAAGAAGAGCTGGCTTTATTGTCACCCCCACTCACTGACTCCCAGCCAGCTGGGAGCACCCTGCACCCTGGGCCGGGCCCTGTGCAGGGCCACATGATAACAGGGCGCTGATTATTGAGTGACCATTAAGTACCTGGCCCAGTTCTACACACTTGACCTGTTTTTAGTTACTTAATTACTATCCCTATTTTACGAGGAGCTGAAGCCCAGAGAGGTTAAGTAACTCCTTTGCAGTAGCACAGCTAGTAAGAGAGTGACAGAGGGCTGGGAGCTCTGGAAGCAACAAATGTGGCCTCTGTGTGTGAGTCTGGTGGTGGCCAAGCAGTGGCTACAGATTGGTGTGGCCACTGCTGATCGGGGGACAGGGCCACACTTCTAAGAGCACAGTGGTCAGGACCGTGGCTTCTGGATTCAGGCCGCTGCGTTCACTGGGCAAATCTCTTTGCTGCTCTGCATCTCAGTTTCCTCGTCAGTAAAATGGCGAGGATGTTCCTACCTCACAGGGTTGCTCCGAGGGTGACATGAAGGCGTGTGTGTGAGGGTCAGGAGCCAGGGAGAGGTGAGGTCAAAGGCATCCTTGAGGGCCCCTACCAAGGGTATTCTCAACGAGTAGGAAATTTCTCTTTAGCCTCGGACCCCCACAACACCCAATTAGCCCATTGGGAGCGTGACACTGTGGCGTTAGCATGCCCAGGGTTGTGAAACCATCACCACAATCAGTTGGGGAACACTTTCACCACCCTCAGAAGACACCCAAGAAGAAGCGAGTCATTCCTCATTTCCCCTAGGCCTCCCAGCCCCTGGCAACAACCTGTTTACTCTCTCTAGAGTGGCTTGTTCTGGACCTTTCACACAGATGGGACTTCAGGGCGAGGCCTGCTGTGATGGGCTTTGGGTCGTGGGTCACGGGTCTGGGGTGCACCTGTGGGGGGGCCACCTAGTCCCACCTGATGTCCATGGTGTGGACATCCCTTTGGTTTCCTGTTCCATCCACTAATGGACATTTGGGTTGATTTTGCGATGAGGGCTGCCGGGGACACTGTGTTCCGGTGTCCTCGGGGACATGTTGCCCTCGGACACACACCTGAGCAGTGAGTCGCTCAGGCATGTGCTGTCTTGAGGACCTGCCAGGCCGCTTCACATTTCGTGATTGCGTCATTCCATGGTCCCAGCAGAGTGTGGTGGTTCCAGTTTCTGCAAACCTTCATCGAGTCGTTTTTTCAGATCGTTTCTGTGTGATAATGTGGTCCTGGGTGTGGGGCTGCACCTCATGGCAGTTGGGCTGGCATTTCCCAGTGAAGGCTGGTGATGTCAAGTCGTTTTTTGTGCCCTTGTTAGCCAATGGTACATCTTCTGTGGGGAAGGGCCTACTCAGATTTGTACCATCTTTGTTAGGTTGTAAGATTTCTTCTAGAACTCTAGATGCAGCCCTCTCATCTGATAGATGATTTGCAAATATTTTCTCTTACTCTGTGGGTTATCTTTTCACTTTCTCAGCATCCTTTGAAGCATAACTTTTAGACTTGAATGAGGTCCATTTCATCTATTTTTTCTTTTGTTGCTTGTGCTTCTGCTGCCATACCTAAGAAGACATAACTTCATCCAAGTTTCAGAGTTGTATTCTGTCTTTTCAGGATGTTCTAGTTTTACCCAACTGGGACAGCAATTCTGGTGTGTGCTTTTCCCCACACCACCCAGCAGTAAAGTCAATTCTGACCGGATCTACCTGGAGAAAGCCTCAAATCCCACCATAAATTATGGCGTCACAATTCAGTTCTTTATTTAGGTCTCTGATTCACCTCGAGTTATAATGTGTAACTGGTAGGAGGTAGTAAGGGTCCAGCTTCATTTGTTTGCATGGGGATACGCAGATATCCTAGTGTTAGCGGGTAGGGTGAGAAGCACTGTGGGCCCCCCCCAAACCGGCATGCTCTAAATGGATTCTGCTATCCACGACATAAAGACAAAACGTACTCTAGTGAGTGCATAAGACCTCCAATAGAAAATAACTTCAGTACATGTAGCATGTGGTGGAGAGAAGAGAAGAGAGAATAGAGTTTCAGGTAGTTTCCAAATGAAGCACCCAGTTACCCAGGCCCTCGTGGGTAAATGCCAGCCAAACAGGCTCATCCCAAAGCAGGGCCACTGAGGCCAGAAAGCTGCCACATGTCTGGGGGGACCCACAGGAAAGGGACAGAAGGAGCCAGGCAAGTCTGGAAGGAAAAACAGCAAAATCAAAATCAAGATGAAAGGCTGTCGCTGTCAGCCCCCCAGGGTCTCACCCAAGTCTCTTTCTAGTGTCACCTTCTTCATGGCCCCCCAGTCCCTGGTACAAGTCCAAGATGCGAGTGTGGCATGTACCTCTCTGCGCCATGCGCCCGCCAGGTCTTCCGTCTCTTCCTTCTCCCTTTCTCCGTCTCTCCGTGTCTTCCCCCTTCTCACCATTCTTCTGGGCTTTTCTAGCTTCACTCCCTGCCCAGCTCCACTCCTTGCAGGGTGGGGCAGGAAACCGGAAACCTCCCTCTCCCTGGAGATCACCCGGTCACACTGGCACCCTGTGTAAAGAGACTGTCGTTTCTGCCTTGAACTGTCCTAGGTCTGGCAGCCTTGACTTTTAGTTGGTTTGTTGCAGGTGCCAAACTAGCACAAGTAAGCAAAGCAGGTGCCATCCTTGTGTTTTCAGACCCTCCGCTGTCACTCTGTAAAAGGCGATCTGGATTCTTGGGGGCGGCTGCACACCGGATAGTGAAGGTGGCTTCCAGGCCGAGCCTCATCCATGGCCCTCTGGGTGTGCTGACTCCTGCGAAGTGCCCAAATGTGGGCAACTTGACTGCACACTTTGTGACACTGTGCTTTCCCCTGACAGAAAACGTATGAATAAAATAAAGGGCCATCTGGGAGGGGAGACACTGGAGGCAGGGAGGCTGTGGAGGCCGCCCAGCGAGCGAGTGATGTCAGGGGGTGGGGAGGCCCTTAAGAGGAAGGCTGGACACGTCTGGGTGACTGGTGGGGAGTGTGGGCAATGCTGGGGCTCAGATGATGAGGTTCCACATGTGGGGTTCTTGGGTCCCTCTGTGAAAGATCAGCAGATGTCCCCATTGCTCCATGGCAAGTTTACAAGGAAAGGAAAAAGGAAGAGACACCTGCGTAGACACGGAACTGGCACAGGCTGCGTCTTGCCTGGGCAAGAGGTGTTCTTAGGTGGGATTAACGCGGAAAATTACTGCCGCGGGGTCAGTCTGGGTTGGTCCTCTCTGCCCCCGTCTCTGGCTGATGGTCTTTTCTGACCCCAACTCAGATACCTGGAACCTTCCATAGTGGTTTTAGTTTAAGACTCATCACCTCCACCCCACCCCTTACCCTCACCTCACCGGTGAGACCTTCCATCCTCAATTTTTCTACTCTCAGCGGCCCTCAGAGAAGTCGCTCCCCGTCTGGGGTGAAAGCTTCCCTCTGAGATGCTGGCTCAGGCTGCCCCATCCTGCTAGAAAATGGCACCCGCCCTGCTTGGCCCTGATGACTCTGCAGCGAGGGTGTCAGAGGCCGGGGCCACCTCTATCTGCTCCTCCCTAGACCTGGCCTGTCCCGAGTGTGAGAGGACCAGTGTCCCCGTAATTTAGGGACACACCGAAGCCACGGTGTTCTGGCAGGAGCCTTAAGGGAAGGCTTCTCAGTGTCAGCCTGTGCTGGACGCTATTTGTCCTGGGCCCATAGATGAGGAAGTGTGTTCCCAAGGAGGAGGGACAGGAAGGTCCCGAGGAGGAACCGATAATTCCTGAGCCTGAAATGCAGAGAAGAGAGCATGCTGGGAGACTGCAGAGGAGAGCTTGGAGGGAGGGAAGCAGTCCGGGGGGGGCTGGCACGGGCAGCCCAGCCCTCGGGCTCCTGAAGGGGTGTGCTTGGGCATTTTTGAAGAGCAATGGAAGGTTCTGGAAGATGTTGGCAAGATTGGGGGTTTAGAATGATCCTGAGGAGGGGAGGATTGTGGAGGGGAGCAGGGCTTGGGCGGGACACCCGGAGAGATGGGCTGCCTGGAGGCCCCCTAGGAGATACAGAGGAAGAACCAGCCGGAGCCCCACTTTCCTAGGCCTGGGTGGTGGGAAGGGTGAGATGCCCTTAGTTACCTTTTCCTAATTCAGATACATGCAGGTGATTTCAAAGAAATCTCAGCCATAACCAGCTGCTGTGTCACGGTTATGGGATTGGGGCCTCAGGTCTGGGTGGGAATCTGGGGCCCCCGACAGCTGTGACCCCATCCGTGCTCAGGGAGAAGGGCTGTCAGAAGACGCCTTCTCACGGGGACCATGAAGGCTGAGTGCGCTGGACACACGCCCGCCCGAGACCCCGCTGGGTCACTGCGAAGACGAGGTGCTCCTTGCCACCTCCGCCTTCTCCCAGTGCCAGCCCCGGTCGACCTCCCCCCAACCTCCATAGAAGAATTAGGCTCCCTGAGTGGTTCTCAGGCCTGGCACAACAACGCTTCAGACCCCGTAAGACCTCTGGCCTCTGCAGAGAGGCCCTGGGCCCACAGAGCGGGGCCTGTCTGAGCGATGCCGTGGATGTCTCTGGAGCGATGCTTCTCCCAGATGAGCTCCAGGGATCCCCCTGGTGAAAACCCCCCAAAGGGCAAAGAAAGACTGAAGAGGAGCCTGTCGTGGAAAAGGGGTTGGCCTACTGGCCCCTAATGCGCCGTCCTCCTGTCCCGGCTGCCCTGTCCTTGACCCTCGAGGAGGCAGCTCAGCGTCCGGCCCTGACCGTGTGTGTCTCTCTTCGCCACAGCCAGTACATCAAGGCCTGCAGGGTGGGCAACATGGACCAGGCCCTGTCCCTGTGGTTCCTCCTGGGCTGGATCGGCGGTGACTCCTGCAACCTCATCGGCTCCTTCCTTGCAGACCAGCTGCCCCTGCAGGTGCGCCCGTGCCCGGCCAGCGCGGCTGCCCAGGACAGCCGTGCAGAGGCCTGGGGGCAGCCTCTACCCCGGGGCCCGTCTCGTGAGGGCCCCAGCGTTGGAGACAGCTCTCTGCCCTGCTGTGTGGTGAGACGCTGTCCCTGCCTCTCCTGTGACAGGAGCGCGGAGCCAGAGGACCGCTGTGGCCTCTGGCCCTGTGTTTTCAGGATGGGGTGTGTTGGCGGGGAGGAGGGCCTGAGGAGCCCAGGTGCCAGCTGTGAAGCACAGAGCCGGGCATCAGTCTCCCCGGCAGGCCCGCAAGCCATCACTGCTCTTACCTCAGGCCAAACCACTTTGCCTGGTCCCTGGTGCCCGCCCGGCCCGCCGGTGCTCCCTCCACATGCCCCGGTGGCACCGTGCCAGCCCTGGGCCGACTTGAGCTCTCCTGCTGCCCGGTGGGAGCTGCAGCCCCTCCTTTCCGGAGGAGGAGACAGAACCAGAGGGGCGGTGACTTGCACAGCGTCACCCAGCCGGGCAGCAGCAGCGCCTGAGCCGTGCGGGGTCCCGGCCCTGGCTCCCTTGCAGACCTACACGGCGGTCTACTACGTCCTGGCCGACCTGCTGATGCTGTCGCTGTACTTCCATTACAAGTTCAAGAAGCGCCCCTCTGCCCGTGAGTGTGGGGTTGCTCCGGCCGGGTCTGGGGCAGCCTCCGCGGGGCGTGGCGGGCGGCCGGGAGGAAGTGGGTTTGCTGGCTGATAAAGGAAACCTTGGAAGGCTCCCTGGGCCTTATCTGAAGGCCTGAGTCCTGATCGGCCTGGGTAGGGATGGCGGACAGACCGAGGGCCGAGAGCACGTCCGGGCAGGACCGCAGGGCGTTGCTGGCACTCGTTCTCACCCAGCACACGCGTCAGCCTCGAGGGTCACAGCCTCAAGGCTCACTGCTACGCTTGGGGAGCCGGGGCGGGGAGGGCGGGCTGGGAGGAGGGCCACAGCCAAGACCAGGTGGAGGGCCTTACGGACCCGGCCAGCTCCTCGCAGACGCGGGGATTTCTCTTTCGTAACCTTTCTGCTGACCCCCTGCCCTTACCGTTTGATGCGAAGCCCCGGAGATGGGTTCTGGCATTAAACCCACTTGGCAGAGGAAGGTAAAAGCACAGAGACGTCACATCACTGGCTCTAGGTCACACAGCCACTGAGGGGCAAGGCCAGGACCCAAGCCCCCAGCTGCTGCCTCGGAGATCCCTGACTCCGGCTTCCCTCCTGCCTCCTGTCCAGTGTCCACCCCCATCAATTCCATGCTGCTGTTCCTCTTGGGGGTGGTGTGTACCACCCCGCTGCTGAGCGGTGCTGGTGCTGCCTCCGTGGCCGCCCCGAGGGAGGTCTTTCGGGGGCGAACCCTCCTGTCTGTGGAGCCGGGCAATAAGGTGAGGTGCTGGGACCTCCGGTCCAGGGGGGTCTGGAAGGGCATCGGAGCGCTCTCAGCTCGCCTGTGCCCTCGGCCCTGAGCAGCCTTGTGCCCTGTCAGCCCTTCACCCAGCAGGAGATCATCGGCTTCGTCATTGGCTCCATCTCCAGTGTGTTATACCTGCTGTCCCGGCTGCCTCAGATCCGCACCAATGTGAGTCGGGGGTTGGGGGCGGGGGAAGGCGGCCGTGGAGAAGCGTGGCCCTGGCAGCTAGGCCCTGGGCTAAGGAGCAGCACGGTGTGGGGGCCTGGTCAGAAAGTTGGTGCACAGTCACCACGGCGGTGGGGAGGTTAGCCCATGTCTCCAAGCCTCGTCGCTGCCTCTGGAAAATGAGCCGGATGAGGCCTGCCATTGGGGCAGGCACCTGGGTCTCAGGGAAACAGGAGGTGAGCCCAGGGGCCTGCAGGGAGAGGGAAGGTGGGGAAGCAGGGTGGGTGAGGCTTGCCGGGCACCAGGCGTCAGCACGGACTGGCGAGCAGGGTGTCTGGGCCAACAGGGGTGTCCCACGAGCGCCCCCAGGGACAAGGGTGGGCCTGCGAGAGCTGGTAGCAGTGAGGTCAGGGTCAGGTCTGGAAGGGGCTGCTGCGGGAGCCAGGCCCAGGCGCGTGCGGGGCACCAGTGACGAGTCAGCTCAGGGCGGTCAGACACGTCAGGCGGGTGGCGACACTCCGGAGAGCCCGTTGGAGCCTGGGACTCCGCCCTCACCCCTCCAGTTCGTGCGGAAGTCCACCCAGGGGATCTCCTACTCGCTGTTCGCCTTGGTGATGCTGGGGAACACGCTGTATGGGCTGAGTGTGCTGTTCAAGAATCCCGAGGAGGGCCAGAGCGAGGGCAGCTACCTGCTGCACCACCTGCCCTGGCTCGTGGGCAGCCTGGGGGTGCTGCTGCTTGACACGATCGTATCCTTCTGCGTGTGCGGGCAGGGTGTGTGGGGGGCACAGCAGCAAGCCTCTGCCTGCAAGGGTCAGGTTCCATCCACCCCCGCCTGCCCCAGCCATGAGCCGAGCCCCTTTGGCCTGAGTTCCCCAGGGGCCCGGCATCTGGTACCCCCGCCTACCCACCCAGCCATGAGCCGAGCCCCTTT